TATACTGTTAAATAAGGATTTTTAAAATCTGTATTTAACAGTATATCTCCTGCACATTTTATATAATTATATATATATATATATATTTTATATTTAAACCCTTAGTTTAAGCAAATAAACAACAAAAGGTCACACAATCTAAAACCATGGGTAGCCATCAAAGCTCATCAAGCTTCATGTATTTTTATGAGTGCAGCTCTGAAGGCCATTCATGGGTACCAGCGAGAATAATTGGAGATAATTTAATGGTATTTCATGGAAAATGAAGGCTCTGCAGCTGACAGAAGGGTCATGAATGAGAGAGAGCTCTGTGAGCAGAAACCTCAGAAACACAACTATACTAATATACCTGCTCTGATATGATGTGATGCAAAGCCTGAACACATTTTTGTTACTGCAGGGTGAAGCCATGGAAATCTCCTCTGAAGCGATTTGCATGTACATCTAGCAATTAAAACATGAATGTGAAGAGGGGCCGCCGCAGGACCACTGATGTCCGTGTTCATCTCATGATTGAGACTCAGGGCTCTTACATCAGCTGTCACTCCAGATATTACACACACAAGCCCTGCTTCAGCAAGCTCATGCGCTATAACCACAAAAACAAACAATTACTTATAATTATTCAAAAAATATGCAGCACTGTCCATGAATAAGGCACACAATAGCTCTCGAAAGTCTTTAAAAAAGGCATGCTTTAATTGTTTTCAACAAAGGGTCAGTAAAAGGAGGTGGTTTGTTCAGCGTAACAATCGAAATATTATACGAGATGCTTTATTTTCTGTTTCTTGTATATGAGGATTCCAAGTTCCATGTGCGATTATTTTCTAAAAAAAAAAAAAAACGATCAAAATAGCAAGAATACAAAATAATAAAGTAAGAATGGGTAACAGAATTGCAATTAACAGATTTATCCTAAATTAAGCACTCAATAGCTACCATCTAGATCGTGACAAATATTTTTTTACAAAACTTTTGTTTTCCGTAAGTTATTTTTGCTTACAATAATACGGGTAACAGGGTTGACTGCTTTATCTTAATAAATGCAGTCAACCCAATTGTGTAAAAATTGAAAACGTGAACTGCAATCATCTTCCCATCATGCTGCAGAAAGGGTCTATGTTGATGTCACTTCCTGGGTCACAATGGAGTACGAAAGTGCCCTTTTTCAGTGTCCTTGGATCCAGAACTATTTTTCCCATAGTGATTTTTAAAAAGTCTTTGTTAATAGTTATAAGCATGAACCAAACCAACTAGCTACGAAGAGAATTGCAACATTACAAATTTGAAGCAAAAAAATCGGAACATGGGCAAGACAGACAAAGTCTGTGTACTGAACAGCTTTAACGAGGGAAAGAACTACAATCCCATGAAGCACTGCAAAAACGACAGATAAATATTTATCTAAAGATGTTGATTGTGCATGTAGAAACAACATTTTACGTTTATTGCAAAATAATGTGGCGCTAAAGTGTTCTTTTAATGCGATTAGCTCGTTTCGATTCTCTGATTGGTTGAAATTTCTTAGCAGAATCATGGGTAACGTAGTTTTTCAACAGGAAATCTACTGTTAAACTTAAAGTTGAAATAATGTGGGCTGATGGCTTTAACAAAAAACATACTATCGATTAACAACTTCATAGCTCACAGTAGGTCTATCTCTATAAGCTATCGTTAAAAATCGAATCCCCTATAGACCTTATGCTTCAGAGAAACCTGTGAGCGGCCATCTTTAGAAATGTATCTTTGAACTTCCGTTTTTGCGGTAACTCCATAGCATCACTGTTGAAGTGGATTTACTATTGTAGAGTTGAAAGTTATCACATGCATTGTAATGTTTGAAGCAGATGTCATAACAAACATCAGTAGACCGGGAAGATTTTAATACGAGCAGTTCGTTCATAAACTCGCATGACCTTACCTTAACGCTGCGGAAAGAAGCTACTGAAGGTCTACAGAAAAAAAATTAATGGGATTTTTACTTCCAGACTGTTGCACTCTATATTATGGAATACATTTCACATATTATTTAACATAACCAAAAAAAGAACATTTTAATGCATACATTTCTTTTGAATAAACTGACCCGGACCACTGTACTAAAAGTACATTTTAATAAATTAATGTATTCATGCTTAAATCAAATACAAAAACACAGAACCAAAAAACATCAAGCAGTCATGTGAGTGCAGGAGTGTTTTCTAAAGGCTAGTCTAAGGTCAAGGATCCTGAAATGTACTTGGACTGTAAATATTCTTCCTGTCTACAGCAGAAGTAATTGTTTCGGCATGTGAAGGCAGAACAGAGTCAGATCAAACAGAAGAAATAAAAAAACAACCAAAAATCACAGATTTTGAAAAATCCCTGGCGACACTTTACCTGCTGAGCCATAAACATTCATCGCATATACATACATTACATGAATAACATATTTGAGCCGAATGAGTGGTATGAATAATGACTGAGGATTGTCTAAACATGAGTTTATATATCATGTGAAGAGATTATTATGCATGCACAATGTCACCATCTTTATTTACGACTCTCCAGATAAAGTGTCTCCAGAACTGACAATATCAAATTCACAATGTTTTACAAAAACAAAACAAAAACGCCCGTTTGGAACAGAAACACGTTCTGCCAGACCATCCCATAATAATGCTGAAGTACGTCACACACCCTTCAGCTCCAGCGACCCCCGACAAAAATGGGGAGGAAGACATGCAAGAAACAGGAAGATAACTCATCATACAGGGAGAAGTGTTAGTAAGTACTGCTCCCAAAAATTTA